CGATTACAGATCACATAATCGAGCTTTACGAGACAATGGACTCTGAAGCAGCTCGTTTTTACAACAAAATACTCTTGGATAAATTTGCTAACAATCTCGATTTTGTTCCTCTACCAGGTGACTATCAAGGAACCGAATATGGAACATATTTCGAGCTATTTTCCAATGAAACGGCACGACTCAAAGCTTATATCATCAATTTAGCGAAAGATTCGAAATGGATTGAGCATCCTGAGCAAGGTCTTTCTCAATTTGATCCGAGCATTTACCAATTTACATTTGAACATTATAGTAGTTTGGCGTCGATATCAACGGATGAATTTCCCAAAATTAAACAATGGGCTCAAAAACATTTAGATTACCTTATGGAAGAAGTCAACCAGACAACTAATCGTCTATTAACCGATCCGAGAGATAAGGAAAAGTCGATCTACGAAAAAATGATTATTATTGGCAAACATCCAAGTCAACAATGGTCTTCAAAAGAAGAAATGATTGAAGCACACGAAACAAGCTTAGCTAAATATCGTCAAATTTTTATTGATAAATATAATTTCAAAGAATTTAATTCACCAGGGATTGTTATTCTCAACAATCCGATGTTGACAGGTGGCTATTACTATAAAGATAAATTCTATTTGAATGTTTACAATTGGATCGATGGTACTTTCAAGTATGAAGTAGAAAGTCTCACTTTACACGAAACAATACCTGGTCATCACATGCAATTGGACATCTCCTATCATTCGCCCCATCGTAACTATTTGGCGGCAATAGATTCGCCACTGTGCAACGGGTTCATTGAGGGTTGGGGTCTCTTCTCTGAACATCTTGGGGACATGCTGTTCGAAGATGAATGGGCCTATTTCGGTTATTTGCAAGCAAATATTTTGCGAACATTTCGAGTCATTGCCGATATTCTTCTTCATGTCGAAGGGCAAACTCCATCACAGGTGATCGAATTAGCCAAACAATACTTAACTACCAATGAAGAGAGTATCACGGCAGAAATTTATCGATATCGTGTGCTTCCTGGCCAAGCGTGTGGGTATAAGATCGGCTTAGAAGTATTCAAGCGCATTGTAAAACACAAGTTCAACGTTGATCAAATGAAAGATCTCGTTCGATCGGACCTACTCGAATGGTATAAAGACGTGTTGTGGAAAGCAGAACGACCGTTAGATCTATTATTGCGTGAAAATGGATTACAGTGGTCGTTTGATGAATAAATCTGTCATAGTTTGAAATTTTTCTTTGCTGGTTGTTGGTATGAAACATTTTAAGTATGAGTGTGGGTGGGTTTGTATGAAGAAAAGACCGTGAAGTACAGTTACACTGTTCATCAGAGTCGAAATATAAATTCGGAATGCAATGAAATTTTTCTTTTGACTTTCTCAGAATTGCATGCGTAATCACAGTTCGTGATCCGACTTAGTTCACTGATTAGCATGCCGTTCATATTTACATAGTTTTCTGCTGAGGAAATTGTGAACTACCAAATGCACATTGACTCATTGGTTTCGTGTCTACATTCTAACGAAGTATTTACATACATGACGTATCGAATGATGTTTTCCATTCTTTAAGATTGATGTGATTTCTTTCATTTCTGATGCTCCTTAGAAATATTGTTGCTATTGAGAGGAATGCGAAGGACAAAACACAAATTATTGATTAGATCATCGAAGCAGCGTATAGTCTCGCGATCGGTCATTGAAAAATTCCAAACTATTTTAGAGTCACTGATATGATAGTTTGCTATTTCTACTTGGAAAAACGTTTTATCGTATATGACGTGTTGATTAGTACTAGTCATTCTTTGAAAGTGATTTCTTTTCTGTTTCTTCCTTCTAATTCATTAGAAGTGTTACTAATATCGCGATGAAAGCATAAATACAAACACAAGCCGTCGATCAGTATAAAAGGACAAAATCTTATCTTAGATATGACGTTCTCCGTAGTAGTACTCATTTATCGTCAACGATCTACTTTCTTTTATCTAGATTATTTCTTTTAATTATTGTTAGTTTTATGAGGGTCACAAAAAAATTACAAGACAAGCTGTTAATTTAAACATTGAGGACTACTCAAGAGATACTGACATGCCAGTTTTGTCTCAATGTTGAAAGAAAATTTATTCGTATATGCTATGTTTGGTAGTATTACGGATTATATGGCAGTCATGCATTTCTGTTCGTATGTGATGTTTGAGGAAAATGACACTACTGCCTTGTAGTGAATGAAAGTCACAACACTCACTCTTTATTCATGAACAGTTACTGCGCCGTTATTTTCACCTGTGTACTTTTTCGTATGTTTTTCATTACAGAAGTTAATGCTAGGCAAAGTTATTTGAGAATTTGAAGCATAAAATCATACTTGAACGTTCCAGAAAACTTCATTAGCTTTGGTACACTTTCGAGTATTGTGTTTAAGTGAATGCTTAAATCAAAATTCGATCTGGTTTCTCTAATTGAACTGCAACGATTTTGAACTGAAGATTCATTCATCACCGAATTGATTATGGTTAAGTTTCAGTTGAGAGTCTGAAATTCTCATTGATGCATTTATATTCATTGGATGACACTCGTCAAACGTGGGACTAGCTTAAAACTGTTTGATTTATATTGTGGAGAGATGCCTTTTGGGTCACTTTGTGTTCTTTCTGAAAGTGAAGAATTTCTTCGATGAGAATGGCTTGTTGCATGTTGAGCGGAATTAGTCATGGTTTTTGAATAATAACATCTATTGACTTTCATCATTTCATATGCAAATGCCTGTCTGTCATCGAAAGAGCATGATTCACAACAGTAGCTGTCTATTGAATGATTATGGTTGCGTCGTTCCTTTTTTTTAATATAGTCTCTGTATTGGGAGAAAATTTTATAAACGATGGTGTGTGAAGCGCAATAACTTGTTCTTCCAGAATGATGTGCTTTCTTTAATTCTTGTTCTTTGTTGGAAATGTTACTACGATAATGAGGGAGATAAAAAGAGCACCACTGTCGGTATGCACTCAGTATTGAATGTTGCATTCATTTGTTGCTCACTGTTTGCCTGTGATTTGTTCTGTTTTGGCGACAAGTAGAAGACTTTATGAAAAGAGAATGTTGTGTTGAACTGCTGTCTGTCGAAGATATGTCTCGTATTATTGTAGCAAAGAAATGTTCGAGGAATATGGTTTTCTTCTAGTGTCTGCCACAGAATCATTAAATTCTTTTTCTCACACAGTGTGCCTTCCTCGTTTTTATCTTTACATGTAAACTGGAGTTGTTATTTTAGCGATGTAGTGTTCAGTGCAACTTTTATGTTGAAGAGGCAGATATATTCATCGAAAAACGTATGGTGATTGGATGATCCTTCGATTGTTCCCTACCCAATAAGGTATGCTCGCACCTTTAACGCCACTTTGCAGTTACAAGAATGCCACACATACATCACCGGGAGTAATACCCGATAGCCGAATACGGAATACACAACATGAAAAAATCTAGCATTGAGTTGCGTGCATACTCTATTCACAGGAGTATCTCTAAATTTCATATTTCTTCTGATTGTAAATTTTATTTTAATCGAAGCTGCAGATCAGATAAATTTGAATCGTTTTTTCTGAAATTCTTCTGGACGAGAAACTCAGATTAGTTGTTGAATCATTTACATCTGAAACTTCTGTATCAGGAAAATGTCTTACGAACTCAATTTCACGACTATAGTATATCATTTTATGAAATGACTTGAAAAGCTTTAGTAGTAAACAATGAACATCTGACAATTTAAACATTTATGATATTAACGTTTTCTGTAACGATAATGTAGAAGAATGTTCGAGTAATTGGCAATAGAAAAAGTTCTAGTATTACAGAGAACTAAATATTGACAAAGATATTTTCACCTTTGGCCACCGTGACTATGGATACAACGGTGAGAATACGAAAAACCTACGGTGAAGGCCGATACATTAGCACTATTGGTTTATGTTAATAAAGTCATCACCATAGGTTCTTCATCAGCTTATTGACTATCACCACTTTAAACAATATACTTGAAACTGCATCCCCTATGGTGACGAATCAACGATACCTGACCAAAACTATGATTCACCAACGGTTTCTCTTATCGTCTTGTCTCAATGTGTAGTTTTGCTGATTGGTTGCTCTGTTGACTACACAAAGCCCTAGTTCATAGAACTTTCAGTTATTATAACTATCAGTAATTATTTTGATCCTGTGACTTTGAGTGTCAGTCATCTGTCCTTCATTAGTTCAAGACAAGCTGTAGTGAATATTGATATAAATGATAATTAAGACTTATGAGTATCTATCATATTGAAGCATCTGAAAACATTAGACACTTCTAATATCTATCGCATGTTTAAACCAGATTAGAGGCGTATATACCATCTTAAAAACGAGTGGTATGTTCTTCAGTGAATCTTGAACAGAAATGAATCATCAGATCTGTCTCTCTGACAACAAACCTCTTTCGAGATGTATTTCGGTAAAACAAAATCATACAGTAATGAACATATTGTAATAATTTTGCCTTCCTCATTTTAGGGTACACCTATTTGAAAATATTCTTAATTTATGTTTTTTTGGAAAAAAGAAATATAGATGTCACTGTTGAGAAATGAGACTTATTGATCTGAATGGAAAAAGCTCCTTTGTATATCTCTGACAATGTAGGGTGTGGGGTGTGGGTGTGGGTGTGGGTGTGGGTGTCTGTATTCTCTTTTGTTCACACCCACCCCCACACCCTTATGTTATTAACTTAAATATTTAATAAAAAGTAAAACTAAATATACCGAGAGAAGTAGCAGACTTATGATGAAATCTCGCAGTATCCTTTATAACGATAACCAGCTTGATTAGTTATAGAAAAACATTGACCTTGCTCTTTAAGAGCAAGAATAAGCTAAGTCTGAAAGCAGTCACATCTCAAGAAGCTATAGTAAAATAAACAATAGTTTATGATGCAGTACAGGTTGTAGCACTCCTTGTTTAACAAACTATTAATGAAATATCATCGATGGCTAAATCATTTCCACTACCACCTGGAGTATTTGAAATCGCCAACAGAACGACTGAACTGGTTGTTGCAACAAATAAAAGCCCATAGCGTTGCCAAGTCAAAGTGTTAAATTCCGCTATATCGCCTGAATCTAAAGTTGCCAGCAAGGTATTCGCAGCTGTTAGAGTTCGAACTTCAAATTTTATGCTTGGTTTAATATAATTGTTTGGACTTTTAATAAGATTAGCTACATAGAAGGAAAATTGATAAGTTAACCCTATACATAAACTGTCCGCCGTAAATCGAAATATCTCATCGGCATTAACTTTTGCATCGATAATCATCATATACCCATGACTACTTCCTGTATCATCATTTGGTGTATGATCCGATGCATTGCCTTGCCACCCAGCATGATACGCAGGAACTGCATTCGCGAAAGCAAAGGATCCATAGCTTAGAGTATCACTGAATGCTTGTGTGTACGTTGTACTAAATTGAAAGTCAGCAGGTGTTGCTGAAGAATATTGACTTGCACCAGCACCAAATGTGATTGAAACTATCGATTCAGCATTTAATGTGTTTTGAAGAGAACATAAACCAGTAGATTCTGTAGAAAGAAAAGGAATGGAACCGATTGAATCGACAACGGGATTTGAGAAAAAACTTTGCTCATACGTGGCGCACAAGGTGAAGTGGTCGAGCCAGATGGACAAGTGCAATCATTCGATGAGGAACACAATTGGTCACTGTCACATATAGGATTACATACAACTAAAATAAACAAGACAAACTTTTAATAAATCGGATATTGTTACTAAAAAAAGACATAATTATAAGGCCTATAGTGAAGCAAAGAAACACATTTATTTCAAGTTTAAAATGATATGAAATCTACTCTAAACACTGACAGAGATTATGATATTCACAGTTTTCCTTCGAAAAGAGATGAGCTAAAGATGACTCTTTATATACTTGGTGTTATTCAAAGTAATAAGAGTTATTTGTCGATTTTGAAAAGCGTGTGTTTATGGGTAACGGTTATCTCCTCAGTTATACGCACACCCGTGGCTTACGTGCGCAATGCCTCCTAGGTGCTCAATCTATTATCTCACAGTGTTAAATCTTTCTGGTAACAATAAAATAAAATTTTTGATAAAGAATAGTTAACTACATTTTGTTGTGTTGACTTGTATACTCGTAATGCGATTTTCTCATTCGTATCTCTATCATTTTTCTTATCGATGAGTATGGTAATAATAATCAATATAATAATTTCCTAACTATTCAGTTACAATAGGAATAGACATAACATATTTATCTGGCATTAACAAAAACTTTTGAATTCGGTGATTGTTGAAATCAGTCACAAGTATATTTCCAATCGTGTCGAAAGCCATCGTGTGTGGATAATTTAGTTGACTGGATGTTGTTCCACTATTACCAGAACATCCAACCAAGCATCTAAATCCATTTGGCATTGATCGGATAATTCGATAATTTTGACTCTCCACAATATATAGATAACCGTCAGCATCAAGAGCGATATCTGTTGGTCTATTGAGTATGAAATAACTCTTTGCTCCGAAACCAGCCACTGTCATGGCTTGTGTCTGACCTGGTGAGAAAAGTTGAATCCTGTTATTATCTGTATCAGCTACGTATAGATTCAATTGTTCATCCACGAAAATTCCATGTGGATGATCAAGCGTATTAGGTACAGGACCAGGACATCCTGTACCAGCCACTACCATCAGTACAGTTTGTTCATTGTTGAGTGGCATCTTGATTACATGATGATTATTGGTCAAAGAACAATACAATTGGTAATTGATGTCCATGAAAAGTCCTCTACACGAGCCATAGACATTCATCACAATCTCACTTTGTGTTGCGTTGAATGTCCATTTATTGACGTGACCATTGTCAAAATAAATGTAACCATCCGTTGTAACGAAAAGACTCCATATATTAGTTGAATTCGTCGAAATAATTGTTGTCGGAGTCGATGATTCATTGTTCCATATTAAAATTTGACCATTTTCACGATTAGTAACGTAGACGACATCTTGATCATTAATGAAAAGGCCAACTGGTTTTTGCCCAACTAAACTTTTATTAGCGAATGTTATCGCATCTTTATTCCACGATGCACAAACACTAAGATTGGGTCGATTATATGAGACAGCTTAAAAATCAAGAAGAATTTTATTGATTATTATCATGGTTTCCTGTGATTTCTCTGTTTAATAAAGGTATCTATTTTATCAATGAAATGACTATAGCATGCTTCTCAGTATAGTTTCATAAGAATTGTTGTATATTTAAATGTTTGTTTATAGAAATGTCATAATATTCATGATTTAGGTATCAAGATTTACAATATGAATAAAAGCAGGGTACTGAGTTGGTAGCTAATTGTTAATATTAAACTTAAGCTCCTTCTTTTTATCTATAAAATACCATTCGAATTAATTTCTCTCTCTTCAAAGAGAATGGACTTCGTAAAAATAGGTTTTTTTTTGATAAAAAGTTTGGTTAACGTCATCCTACTTAGAGAATAGGTTTTGGATTAAGTAAATTTAAACTATATAAGAATTCGAGGATAAACTTTTAACTCTTACACCACGCGTTTGTCAGAAGATAAGTATCAAATAGGTGTTGAGAATAGTTGATTTGATCTTTCAAAAGCCTTTTTGCGAGTCCATTCCCTATGTTCAATTTTCTTTGATTGTAAGAGGATATAACAGCACAGCACCTACAAA